CCCAACCCCCCTGCCCTCCCCTTTCCAAACCCCAAAGTCTCTCGCAGTCGTCCACTTCCTCAGACCCGTTATTTTTCAGCCCCTAGCTGCCACAGTGGTCCCCTCCACTCCGACCCCGTCCCCGACCACCATAATATACACTGCCAAAGAGCAGAGGGAGAGCCGGGGAGGAGAGAGGGAGCAGGGGGGTGGGAGGGAGAAAGAGGATTAAAAGAGAGAACTGGAGCACGGGGACTGGGGTGAGTAGTGCTTTTTTAAATTCAAAGCCTAGCGCGCCGAACCCGTCGTTATTTTCACACAAACGTTATCAAAAAGGTCATTTCCAGCGCTACGCTAAAAAGTAACTTAGTTAAGGATTTTTACAGTCATAAAGTCCAACTCCCAATCAACATCAACAATAAGCTATGCTGAATTAAAAAATATCACTCTACTGGCTTTCAACGTCAGGGAAAAGCAAACTTTCCAAAAGTTATTTCCTGTTTAAGTAGTCATAAATAAGTTGACCAGCATTTTAAATACGTTACCAAGCCCCTGTACTGATGTTTAAGCGTTTCAGGGCAACAAACGAATTGCTTTTAGAGAAAATACGATTGCTGTCCCACACTTCCCATGAGGGTATTAATTCAACCCGCGCCCACTGCGGGGATGAGCGTTCCCCAAAAAGTAAAGGAGCAAAAACACAGGTGAGCGGCCAGTCCACGGCGTTAATTTTATGCGGCTTGCACAGCTTCACATAGAAGGGTGAAATAAATAGTATAATGGGAGAAAATGGCAAAGTTTAAAGTAGAATCCGTTCGCTCGAGGCAGGAGAGCATTAAAACTGAATAAAGCGGACGCGACGAAAATTTAAAAAAAAGGGTGTTTTATTCATTCCGTTTATTTGACGTGCGCAACGCCACAAGAGTTTGTTGGTGGCCATTACTACTAATCCTCGCACGACGACGACGCAGACCAGGTAGGAATCAAGAAACCAAAGAACAATGCAAATGTATGAAGTAATTTAAGTGAAAGTTATCCACTAAGTTATTTGCAGATCGGGGTTAGGAAAATAAAGGTTCGGGATTTATTATTATCTCTAATGACTCTACTCATTCGATATATATATCACAATATCAAAGCTCGACAGAAAGAGGAAGGAGAGAGGAAAAAGGGGGGAGGCATTTTACCGATTAAAACCGCTGCTGACGTAACCAGAATGCAACAGGTACGTAATCGGTATGGAGGCTGTGTTTCATACATTATGAACTTTGTTTTTATCTCGGGCAGCAAGGAATATGTGAAAACATTGCTCGAGCACCGTATTTCTTCTATCTGCTCCGTCTTTTTCCTTCTCGTGTGAACCCTTTGAGTAAACAATGCGCTCAATTAATCTAAAATGTTAATTCCAAAATGGAGTGCGCCAATGGAAACTTCAGACAAAAAGGTGCAGCATAATGCGATTCCATCCCAGCACTTCCACCCCCTCCCCTTTCTGTCCCTCTGCTTCTCTCCCTTTCTCTCTCTCTCTCCCTCTGCCTCTCTCCCTTCTCTCTCTCTCTCCCTCTCACTCGAAAGGATCATCGAATGAAGGAGCTGACTGGACTGGTGGATTAGTAGCATTATGCGACACAATACGCAAAATAACGAAAACAGAAACGCACTCTGCTGAAAGCTCTAACTAAACATGGCAAAATGACACGGTAAAAACAATAGTGTTGGTGTCAATCAGAGGACGCACCAATATTTTGGCGTTAAAAGGCACCAACAAAGCAAAAATTAGTATTCAATATTATTCGGTTGATACCAGAATTCACGAGCATGTACGTAACATTCACGAGTATTCAACTTTCAAATATATTCACAGTTAACATTCTAAGGGGACTTTCTCAACATCTGATTAAGTTTTCTTCACACCATAGGTTTTTTGAGTTCTCTCTTTTTCCTCAATTTTCTTCGTTTGTTTTTAACGTGCAAGGACATGTGCGAGTCTTTCAATATCTCCCGCCGCTACGGATCACGATGGACAGGAGTAGGGCGCGCCCATTGCGACAGACTGCCCGTGACGTGCTCACTTGTCACACCTTCCACCCGCGCCAGTTAACAGCGCGGTCCGTCCAGACCGACGCCGGGACGTGCCGCGTACATTTTATGGTCGCTTTACTGCGGAGCGCTGCAGCAGCGTTGTTTGGTTTGGCTCGTATCCCCCGAAGCGCAGCTGTTAATGACAAGGCCGTGATCCCGTATTCAAATTGAAATTTGTGTAGCAGCGCCAACAACACTCTGTAGTGGTGATTTCATTCGAATCGCCCTCCCTCGCGGTAATGAGCGGATCACGAGTAGCAGTGCAAGCAAAGCCCGACGAGTGTTGCCGCCACTCCCCAGCACCCCACGCATTCTGATCTTCCGTATTGCAGCGCCGCTCGCTCGCAATATACAATCCGGTGGGATTATCTTGTTCTGCACACACACTCACGTTCTGATTTTCCAACCGTGAGTGTTTGTCATTTTCATTTCACGAGCGCACAGCTCCCCCACACCTCTTTTCCTCCTTCTCTGACAGGCAGGTGCATCGTGCATCCCGTCCTCGGTACATCAGACGGTGCAGCCCCCCAAGTGCTCGGTGTGATGCTACACGTAGCACGTAGTGCGACGTCAAAGGCGATAGGGAAGACGCCACACCCCACCTCGTCAAACTTGCGATCGTGGAGGGAGGAGAGGCAGTAGGCCGGCGCAGAAAGAGAGGGGAATGGTGGCTTGGAGAGAGAGAGGGAGGAGGGAGAGAGGGAGAAGGGGGGAGGGGGCTCTTTGATCTCTAGATTGGCCACACACGTAACCTTGTGGTCCATGAAGCTGACCTGGCCTGACTTTAAATGACGGGATGCGAAGACTCGACAATGTGAAGGGGGGAAAACGAAACAAAAACAGAAAACAAAAGAAAAATCACATCCGAGTACACCTCTCTCTTTCTCTCCCGTTCACCCAACCCCTCTCACTTCCCACCCCCTCTCTCTCTCACTTCCCACC